AACATCATCAGGAGATGAGTAAAACTAAATCTTACATATAAAATATAACCCCTTCAATTTAAATCTTACAGTTATGTTGAGTCTTCGTCTTTCTGAAAAATCAAGGATTTACGAAGGTGTTCTCTAAATTTTCATTACTGCTATAAATTAAAAAATTAAATTTATGTGGACTTTTAAAAATTAACAATAAGTGTGATAAAAGGCATAAAATAACATCTTACTCTGGCACTAAAGAATGCTTAGGGCAACAATGTTTCGTCTATTTTCAACCAAAACCGTGTTTTGTGCCAAAACTATTTTCAAAACTTTCTATCTTTCTTTTTGAAAGTTGATATATCGTTTATGCCAGAAAAATTTTGAAGTTTTTCGGTCAGAATCAATAAATTGCGTAAAAAAATACCAACAAATTGCCCTTCTTCTGACGAAATAGTCACCTGAACATTTATTTCACTTTCAGACCAATTAGTAGAATATGAAGGTGTGGCACTCAAGTTTCCATAACTCGGCACAGAGAATGCGAATCATCAGACTCGAACAAGTTGCAAAAGTAGGGCATGGCGTCATTATAAATAAAATCGAGAGTAAATCGCGTGGTTTACCCGATTTGGTGCGACTCCGTTTTTTATCCCTTCCTCTTGTAGCCTACTAAACTAGTGACCCTGACCACTTTTGCTTTCTACGGGTGGTCGAGGATTTGGATTTGGCTGCATCATCCACGGTATTGTTCTGCACATCGTGTTTGCGGTTTGTCAATACAAAAAATGTGCAATACGTTGAGAAATAATCGCTTCAGATATGCGACGTGAAATTGATCACAGCAAGAGTTGAACAGCAGGAAATAAATATACTTGTCAACAATATCTTACGCTATAAAACACATACTTTTATATATTATGAATTTTTTCTACAAGTGACAAACGTAAGACAAAACAGTCAACTTTTGCTCTTGTTCGTATGATAGCTTGCACTCGGTACATTGAAGGGGGGTAGCTGTACAAACATGAGTCCAGGTTTGGCAGTTTCTTAGATTTCAAGATCAATTGATGACGTATAACTATCGTTTACCAGTTCACTGCTGCCTATTGTGAAGTTTTTACAATTCGAAGTCTTTTATACGACACATATAGTTGTCAAAATTAATAAACTGCGGAAATTTCACGTTTTATAATGAACCAGAAGTGAATTTTGTATCATAATTATAAATTTATCACAAGAAGATGAATATTTCAAAGTAGGTAATATCTCGAAATAGTAATCTTTCCCAACTACTTACACCGTAGGCATTCGAGTAGATCACCTGTAGACCGGTTTCGAGGTATTACCTGATCCGACCCAAACAGCAAATTGTCTGGGACTCGATTAATTTCAACGGGGACCGTTAACTGGTAACAGCTTGATTTTGTGAACAAAGCCCCAAGCGGGAATGAAACATCCCATGTGCCAAAACTCTAACAGAGATCAAAACTTGTCTGAAGCCTGTATCGAGGAGGGATATATATAAACGTATGAGAAAATAAATATTTCGAAATAAAATATTGAAATATTCATTAGTTTGCAGACTAAATAGGAGTTGAACAACTCTCTTAAACAAATTCAAAAATAGAACTCTCTCTTCAAGTACTTTATGTGCAAACAATTAATTTCCGCAATAATGTGTGGCTCCAGTTCCACCCGGGGATTGCAAATACCTTCATGCATCTCTACTTACAAAACACGAACTTCATAGCCCAAAAAGAGTATTTCATTTGTAAATAACCCTTTCGATTTCATTACTTCGTCACATTTTAAATTGAAAAGGTTTATTTTTATGAGATTTTAATTTTTGAGAAAGAAAGTTTTTGACCTTCTACTTCTCCATCTTGATACAAAAAATTTGAAAATCTTTCAAAGGAAGGAAGAAAACAATCAATTTCAAAATTAACTCTATACAAAGATGTGTAAGAACATGCAAAAAAGAAGTAACTGGAAGAAAAAGCCCTCACAAAACAACTATTTTTATATAAACATTGAATTACCCGAAAGAAAATTACTTGCGAAACAAATAATTTTATATGAACCCTGAATTATATGAAAAACACTTCTCTGTTACTTTTGTATTCCAAACATCCGTAATGGAATCGACATCCGATGCTTCGCCGTAAGACACTTTCCTTATAGGCTCTTCAGAAGCAAAAACGGATAACATTATAAGAAAAGAAACACTCAATTCGTTCATAATTATGACTTTTTGTCACGGAATGTCATTATTTCGGATGCACAATTTGATAACGCACCAGTGAAAATCCATCATCGGTAGACATTTTTTACTATTGTCATTTATTCACTCAGAATTATGAATAAAAATATAAAAAATTAAAAGTATGTCGACATATCAATTATTGTCTTTTGTTGGAGACGAAAGCACTACCTTCAGCCAGTGTATCCCCAACTTTATTCCCTGTTGGACTTGTTTTCATCAGTCCATAATCTTATTATTGATTCAAACTGTCTCTGGAATACACAGAGGAACTACTTAAAAAATTGTTTGTTATATCAAACTTGTTGAGTACTCTGTATTGTATTGTCGATACCCGATTAATTCAAAAGATGATTTCATTTATTTTCATGTTTTTCACCACTTTTTATACATTAAACATTAAAGTTTAATGTATAAGTTTGAAAATGTCCTTATAGAACGAAACTGCAGTAACGTTAGTTACAAATAAAAGTGGTAAAAAACATAGAAAGTTTTCAATTCTCTTTTCTTCATCATGATTTCCTACCACGTAATAACGACTAGATCTATCAATTTATTCATTTATTTTATTCGTTAATCAGGAAACAGTAATGCCAGATCTATAATATTACGAGGATGAAAACAAGAAGATGAAGTACGCTATGGTATCGTCATTATTTGTAAAAAATTATCTTCTAAGATATTTTTTAATTGCAATAACCTCAGAATCGAAGATTTAGTGGAATTCCTTAAAACAGGTTTCTAAAAATGCGATCTGTTGATAATTTTTGAAAATAAAGTTTGTGGAGATCAAATCATGAGGTGTATTTTATAAAATTATGATAGATTCTCATCAAGCAACGGCCGAAACAATTAAAAAAAAAATGATAATTTTTCATTTACTGATAAAGTATAAGGCGGTTTTAAAAACCGTCTTATACGAGTATAAGTAAACTAAACTATATTCGGAAAACAAAAAACCTGCAGAAGGCAAACTTGTGCGCGGGTAAGCTGTGTAATTTTCAAGAAATTACTGAATTTTTTTTTGAAATATCGGAATAAAGAACATTACCTTGACCACATATAACAAACGAAATATGATATGGAATTGCAATTGTGATTGTGAATTATAAATTATGAAGAAAACATTTGTTATAATAGATAGATATGGAGAGTGTATGTAAGTATTATGAATTAAAGTAATTCTGCATAAATTTTGTAATTTCAAACTTTTTCAAAAATGAATATAATATTTGTGTGGATTTTCATATTTCACTAATGTCCTCGTACAGAAATGAAAAGAAGTATCTTGATCTTATTCCAGGGAAAAATTTTATCGAACTTAGCACTTAGAAAAAAGAATTTCTAGACAGGTGTTTCGGACAAATTTTCCAGAGTGCTTTGTGTGACAATACTTTTTCTCGGTTTCATTTAGCAATACACTCGATAACCTTTCTATTCGTATGATTCCTCAGACCCAAATGTCGCGCAGATCTTCAGATCAAAACAAAATATGTAACTGGCTTCTATTGAAGACTCCACGCTTTTGTGTTCATTTTCCAACCAATTGTTGCCCATCTTTGTACTTGGTTGTACTTGAAACATGTGTGTATGGTTTGCCTTTTTAGTCCATTCATATGTTCAATGTGTAACAAATCTGCTATCCCATTGAGGAAAGTGTTTTAAAGATATGACTCTTAATTAAAGAAGTTTTATCTATTCATATCAAAATACTATGAGTTAAGGACGGGTACATTCCCTTCACTTTTTATGGAACTCAACGAATAAACGTTCAACCCATTTCACGAAAATTAATTATTAGTACATGCTAAAACATTCACCTATTATAGAAATTCAATTTTGAACGAACCAGAAAATAAAATCAACAATTCTAATCAGAACTTATCAAATGAAAATAGATCTGATTGAATTCCAATAAAGCTCAAAACAAAAAATATTATACGTAGATAAAAATTTAAAAAATATATTTCAAATATAGATAACATGTTATTAACATATAGTAAGCGCTACCGAACGCGAAACAGATCAGTTACCTTCAAAACACATTTGTTGAGAAAAATAATCAAAAACAGGTTGATTTTTAAATGAAAAGAGAACATTTTCCTGTTATGGCTTCAATTGTCATACCTCTTTCCCCGCCCCTTGGAATTTGAATAGAGAAAGCACTAAGTGTGACACATCATTAAAAATGAATTTTATTATGGAATACATCCATGCTACTATTCATTTTGGCGCCTTCTTGTGGGAAAAACAACTGTTCCATATTTCAAATTATGATACTTTATTTGAAAGATGATGTGAACAAGTCATAAAAAGATAAAAACTGTAGGGATGTACATTGTACGAACACAAAATGAAATCTGTGCATAATTTCAAAAATTTCAAACTACAATAATTCACAGTGAATGCTATTACCTGATTACATACATATATTATAATAAATTAGTATAGAAACGTCTTGACATTTTGGAGGTTTTGGTAACTTGATGACATTGTTTTTCTTGCAGGAGGGCGCCTAAATATAAAGATACGTAGTGAATAGTTACTTGGATAATTTCCTAGTGAAATATCTTTGTGACGATGTTTATGTCAAACACTCTATTGTCTGATATTTGTATTGCTTCATTACACAACTTTTTATTTTCACATTGTATATCAGGTTATTATATCAGAGTTTCATCTGTGAAATGTTTCCTGATACTTTCTGGAAAATCAATCAAAATATCGCAATGAAAGTGAAACTGACCTCTTTTTTTTGTTTCAGGTAAATATTGGAAACATCTTCAAAATTGTTCCATGATAATGATCCAACAGTAATTCTAGGTAAAAAGGATTTGTATATATTTAGTATTTGAGTTTTTATTCAAAAGAAATGTTTGCGGTTGAACACAGTAAACTATGATTTGAGTATACAAAAACTATGTTTTGAATTGACATTTTTTTTGTTGAAGTGCAGGTTCCTGATTCCAACTTTTTTGAGGTTCACATCTACAATTCATTCTCTTCGAAATAAAATACAACAAGCGACTAAAGATTTTATGATTGAAGCAAAACCAGATCCAATTCACCAAAGGACAAAAGGCCTTACCAATCCAAATTTGATGATTGGAGCTTCAAAATGAGTTATTAACTTTTCCACCCCCATATCTGGATGTTTGTGTGATAAGGATAAGGTTTTTGGTAGAGATCAATCAATAGCGATATTTATATCGACCTCATACAAAAATAAAATGAAAAGAGAAATGAAAATGTCTGTTTTTTACCACTTTTAATTGTAACTAACGTTACTGCAGTTTCGTCCTATATGGACATTCTCAAACTAATACAATAAACTTGTTTATTGTATTAGGCCATTTTAATGGCGGTGTTTCTAATAAAAAAACGAAATAATAATCGTGACTTTTATATATAGTGAAATTTTTCATGAAATCATTTTATGACCAATTTTATTCATTTGATTTTCATTTAATGTTCAATGAATAAACAATTGCAAATGACACGAAAATCTCAACTAATTGCTGTTCTCGAGTTTCAAAGTGACTATTTTTCTCGTCGTCGTCGGTACTAAATTTTATAGTTTGCCAAAATGAATACAAAACAGAGGCAATAGATACTCTAGTAGTTCGAAAAATTCTTTATCGTCTAATAAAAATAACACAACTCGCGTAAACTCGTCATTTATGCAGCAACTCAAGGAAATTTTTAAATAGAAAAACAGGTCATTGCGACCAACTAACACACTACACTAGACCCAGTTTATTCTCGTAGAAATGGCACGGTACACCTGATTCATTTTCATTTATGTTTCAGAATTGATCGGAATGAATAAAATTGTCTTCTCTTTAGTTTCCAAAGCCATAGTTCGTCTTCCTTGCCATGATTTTTTTTATTTATTCTCCACGAAAATAATGACAACCGTATAGGTATCCTAAAAAAATAAATCCGAATATTAACTTAATAACACATTATATCGTATGTCAACTCTCTACAACGTGTTACAAAAATTTCCTCACTGTATAATAACGGTTCTGAACAAGAAATTGCTTGCTTCAATAATTTTAAAAAAAAGTAGATTATATTGTATTAATGAACTGCTATTTTTGAGTTTAATAGAAAAGAATACCTATTTCCCTCGTTTTTCTACTAGACAAAAAAGGAAATAGAATGGAGAAAGGAGATCGAATGGAGAGGAGATCGAATGAAAATGTTGCCGAACTTCACAATAACTTTTTAACCAACCCAAATGCGTAAAATTATGATATAACATCTTTTTCTATTTAACGTTTTGTTTGGTTATTTGACGAAAGAGAAATCTTTTTTATTCATTACTTATTTAAAATGAGTAAAAAACATCATATCGGAGCAGAAAATCAGAGCGAATAAGTTTTTAAAGACCCATTCCAAGTTGTGTACTGGGAAATTCACATCGTTATATATGTATACTAATGGTAATGCAAAAGCAATGATAATGCCAATGTAGCCAATGTAAAATCCTATGTAACAGAAATAGTTGTTTATTTTATTTGCAGACTTCAAGAACTAATATGATGAATAAATTGCAAATATGCGTTTTGTGCAGTAATTACCATTTGTATAGGAACATTTAATTGGTTTTGTGAATCTCCTCCAGACTGACATTTATTTCAACTTCCATTTTTCTTTAGTATTAATAATATCATAGTCCATGATGATAATTATAGACTTTTTCAGAATGAATTTTATAAAACGTTTTGCTTCACGGTACCTTCATCAGTTACTAGTACATCAAACTACTCTACAATGTCTTTCATATAGCATTCATTACACGAATGATTGAATCTATTGAAATAGGTAGATATTGGAAAAACAACTAGGTACAGTACAATATTACTTTTAGGAAAACAGATAAAATATTGGCATTTTATGTCAAAACTCCATTAGATAAAGGAATGATTTTCGCCAAACAGACAGATTTGGAAAGCCCAATTAATATAGTATTATTTCTAGAAGAACAATTAATTTGTAAATACCGAGTGATTCTCTAAGATGGCTCACTCCTATAACTTTTTTTATTATTGGAGATTGAAAAACGAAATTTGGGGGTTGTGTATTATAGTTCAATTAACATTTTTTGACATATTTACTTGCTTTGCCGTACTTCCGGTTTGACCGGAAATGACCCCAATTTGCGATTTTCAAATGGGACATCCTAGGTATATATTTTTACTTATTTCGATCGAGAATGACATTCTAAATCCAACAATACTTCACTTGTCAATATTTGACAAATGAAATCATGTTTATTCCAATTTTAATTTATTGCTTAATTTTATGCTCTAGTTCTTTACGAATAGTTGATGTTGTATTTGAACCCTGATTTTTAATTGTTCCCCAGAGAAAAAATCTAGTGGAGTTACATCTGGTGATCTAGAATATGAAAAAGAAATGATACATTTATGTAAAAATATGACAACGCAGGCCACTGCATAAATCCATAAGTGCCAAATCAGTTTTCTGGGAAGGTGTTTTAAAAATCTGTTTAAATCTGTTTTTCCGTCACTCCCCTACAAACAACAACCCTCAGAAGTCGAAACTTGTGCGAGCTAAGGCATAACGAGTTTCAAACTTTTAACGTGTGATTCCTAACACATCATTCATATGTTCTCTTACGACTTGAGAATTGTGAGGTGGCGCTCCATTTTGTCAAAAATAGATATCAACTTGGTTAGCCAGTGGCAAATCTACCATAAAATCATTAATTTAATTTCTGAGGAACTGTTGTTGGCCCCAAAAGTTTTCCTCTGATAATACTCATCCAGCAATTGAAAGCAAATCGCTCTTGAAAATTTCTTTTTTGCATCAGATGTAAATTTGTTTGAAACCAGTACCTTTTATTATTACACGCTTTATATTAGCTTCACCTGTATGTATGGATGGATGGATGGGATGGGATGGGATGGAATGGAATGGGATGGGATGGGATGGAATGGGATGGGATGGGATGGGATGGGATGGGATGGGATGGGATGGGATGGGATGGGATG